TCCCTAACAGAAAATGTCTCTCTATATTTCAATTCAGCTGTGACAAATTTTTATAAATAAAGAATATCTAGCACTTAGATAATGCCTTTCATCCAGAAGAATGTAGAAACACTACACAGGACACATACAAATCATTTCACTACATGCCAAGCAGCAGAAAGCACAGCCTGGAAATAGAAATGGGGCAGCCACTCTGCAGCCTGTGTCTCCTTCCTCTAACCTTGGCCCCCCATTCATCACTGAAGCACCATTCTCTGGCTCAAACAAAACTTAAATCACAGCAAAACATCAAGAGAGAATTGTTGAAATCCATGAAAACTTGGTGAATTCCTTCATTTTGCAGCATAACCATTCTGACTATAGGATACTGAGAAACAACATAGCAAATTTCCAAAACCCATACTGGACAGACATCAAAATGCATTCAAAATATATCACCAAACAATCCAGATTGTTGTTGCTCGTGAAATAAGGTGACACCTACGATCACCAAATGGCACTGACTTTTTAATGCCAATAGCACTGTTCGAAGCCCGATTTTTATTATCAGCCATATCATCCATCCTCATTTACGGCATTACTGTGCTACAGCACATTTGTTATAAAATTCTTCAAGAATGATAATACAATCAAGGCAATTACGCCTCAAAGAATTAACATTGGGGCATTTTTTTAAAACAACAGATTTGATTGAAAGATAAAGATTAGCTTTAAATTCCTTCTCCCCTTCCTTTATTTGAATATGAAAAGAAAGTGTAATACTGATGCTTACCTTTATATTCTAGGGAGGAATAACCCCATGCCCCAGGACAGGCTGGGGGCTGACCTGCTGGAGAGCAGCTCTGCAGAGAAGGACCTGGGAGTCCTGGTGGACAACAAGTTGACCATGAGCCAGCAGTGTGCCCTTGGGGCCAAGAAGGCCAAGGGTATCCTGGGGTGCATTAGGCAGAGTGTTGCCAGCAGGTGGAGGGAGGTGATCCTGCCCCTCTACTCAGCCCTGGGGAGGCCCCACCTGGAGTCCTGTGTCCAGTGCTGGGCTCCCCAGTACAAGAGAGACATGGAGCTCCTGGAGAGAGTCCAGCGGAGGGCTACAAAGATGATGAGGGGACTGGAGCATCTCTCCTATGAAGAAAGGCTGAGGGAGCTGGGCCTGTTCAGCCTGGAGAAGAGAAGACTGAGGGGGGATCTGATCAATGGGTACAAGTATCTGAAGGGAGGGTGTCAAGAGGATGGGGCCAGACTCTTCTCAGTGGTGCCCAGCAACAGGACAAGAGGCAACAGGCACAAACTGAAACACAGGAAGGTCCATCTGAACATGAGGAGAAACTTCTTCACTGTGAGGGTGGGCAACACCCACTGGGCAACATAGGTTGCCCAGAGAGGTAGTGGAGTCTCCTTCCCTGGAGATATTCAAAAGCTGCCTGGACGCAATCCTTGGCAATGTGCTCTAGAGGACCCTGCTTGAGCAGGGGGGTTGGACTAGATGATCTCCAGAGGTCCCTTCCAGCCTCAACCATTCTGTGATTCTGTGATATGACATTAAAAGACAGTTTGGGTCAATATAATTACTATAGAACAGGGGATTTTAAAAAAAAATCTTAAATATTTGTACTTACTGATTTTACCCTTCAGATGCATTTTAGGATACTGGGGTAATTAGCTAAGTCCAAACCACAGATACAGAAGTAGCTACTAGGCAGTCTCTCCCTTAATTTGTATATTATGCATACAATATCATAGGTTAATCCCCTCAAAACACAAACAAATGTTTTTGCAACAATACTTTAGAACAGATCCATGTGAGTCTAAGTGAGGCCCCCAGAAGAGCTTCCTTGCACTTGACGGCAGGTTTATGGACATGCTGTAAATGTCAGACTACGCCTTTTTTAATAATAAAGACAGACACTATAATACTGTTTCCTTGTAACCAGGACAGAAAATCATTTGGTAAGAGTAAGAACATTTATTGGTTTTGACATAAAAATTTCTTGCTGCAAGGTGGAAATGCTCTACTCCAAATACCAGAAGAAACGTGAAATTTCAAGGGTTATGTTCAGTAACTCGGTTCAAAAGCAGAGGCTGTAGGTGCATTACTTAAGAGCTTGTCAAAGATGATCTTCTGCAGCACACTACTTCAGGATTCATCCTACTATGCACGGAAAGGGGATTCTCATGTAAATATATGGCAGACCTGGCTAGTTGCAGATCAAGCCCATGCTGCCCGCTCTACTTCAAAACCATTGTGGTCACTACAAAATGTTAATATTAGAAAAGTTCTTCAATACTGAATGTAACCACTCCTCCCACATATCCCATATAAGCGCAGTTCTATAGCCAAGCTTTTCAATATTCACTTGCTTTGAAAAATTCAAAGCGACAGTTCTCACAGTAGCCATACTTGATGTTCTTATGCATATTTTGTATTGCTGTATTCAGTGTTAATTTGGTGCCATAGAGATGTAGCATATTCAATGCAAATGAGAAACAGTTGCAGTCCAAGCTACTGCTTTGAATTTCCTGACTTCCATACACACAAAAACTTGACTATATTTTATTTAACAATTTTTTCGCTTTTCATTCTTTCAGAGCATAAATCCTTGAGCAGAAGCTAGCCATATCAGAATTTGTTAGGATGATCACAAATAAGCATGTTAGAAGAAAATCAGAAGGGGCTCAAAGGACCAAACTGTCAGAAAAACCAAATGGGTTGATCGGGTCCTGCATGCAATAGATAGTGAGCTAGATTTTCAGCTGCGTAAGTCATGGGAGCATTGTTGCCTTCAATACAGGTATGTTCATTTGCATCAAGAATCTGACCTGTGTTTCTGTAGAAAACATTCCCAGTATACATAGCTCTGTATAGCTGCCTTCATGTTTCTCTCATACATCAAAATCCATCAACATTTCAGGGTGAAGAAAGAATTTTATGTTTCAGATGCCAGAGTAAAAACAAATATACAATCTGGTTTGAACTACTCCTGTACAGACCAAAAAATCCCTCATACAGAAAATTCACAGCTGGTAAAGTCATCCTTTTTGTACTTAACCAAGTAGCTTAAAAAGAATCAGGAAAGAAAAATCACCTTGGGCTGAGAGCAAGTAAGAGAAATAAAATTTAAAATTGCATATTTTTAGAAAAAAAAACATTTTGATGGAAAGTGCTTCCCCTAAACATGTCTATACTGGCCAGTCAGAAAGGATGGAAAGATTAGAAAGATATGGCTTTCTTAATATATAATTGTATTAAACAACATCAGGAGGGGAAAAAGAATACAGAGAGCGCAATGGTTATGTCTCGAATATGGAGAATGCTGGTCACAGATCTGTGGTGCATAAAACATTTGTAAGAAAACATTTTTGCACAAGTGCTCTGCAGTGACTAGAGAAATTAAAGAATGAAAAAGAGAAGGTGACCTGATGGGTGCTTAAATGAAAAGAAGAAAGTAACTCTGTACCACTTTTCATTTGCACTGAACCCTGAAGGGAGAAAATTAGGATGATCACACATTCAACTGCAGTAATCCTGGATTAAGGCATTTAATTTCCCAGGCTGTTTACAAACCATCAATACAAACAATAATAAGCAGATATATGGCAGGCTGCTTTAAAAGTATATTACTTCGCTGTCAAAATTAGCTTTAGTACAAATTCAGGAGTATGCAATGTTTTATTCTTTTTAAAGGAAGGCTTTATTTTAGGGGTTTGAAGTAATCTCTTATGCCTGAACTACCTCACAAAAATACAATATCCTCCGCAAACATTAAGTAGGTGGTTGCTCTTTTGTTAGCAAACGGAGCGTATCCTAGCCTTTTAAATTTGTGAATGGCTTTGAAAATAAAAGGAGTCTCCAATATAATCTGTTTATAACAGGTAAATTATATCTGTTCAGACAAGAGTAACAATTAACAGAAAACATCTGTACCATGTTTACCTTTATGAAGTATTATTGTTCTAAATAGCAGAGAATCTCCGTATAAGTGAAAACTTACGTTATTTTGGCAGACACCTGGAAAATTCTTCTTCACCATAATTCTAACAAATCTGATAGCTCTGAGGGAAAAAAAAAATCAGTACTTTCCTCTACACTCTTCTATGTCAACAAGTATTACCCAAGAATTCATAGTACAGGTAAATGACCTAATCAGCCAAAGTCTGAATTTGGTATTTTAGAAATATAAAATTTCTTAGTCTGTGGTTCATGTACCAGGCAGTCACCATGGGTTGACACTTATGGCACTTACGGCACTCAAGCTGATATGCCTGAGAACTTCCAACATGGACAATGTCGCTTTTCAGATATGGGTTACATGAAGAAGATTTAATTCCAATTTCCACTTAGTTTTTTTTTTTTATTTCCATTTCTTCCATTACGTATAGCACAACTTTCTCCCTCTTGAATAGTGAACTAAATTCACTTTCCCTGGTTCATTTTAACCTGTGCCTTAACTCAGTGGAAGCTGGGTTAAGTTCTTAATCTAAAACCTACTGTAATAAAGATAAATATTTCCATTTACATTAAAAGGTTTTATATAAAGTTGATGAGGAAACCTGTGTGTTATATTCCAGTGCAACATCTCTCCCTATATCCCATAGGGCTCCATGCACTTTGGCAGGCCATGGAGCAAGAATTATTCCAAATTTCACTCTCACTGAGGTATGGGATAACACAAGCTTTGTATCAGATGGAAATACACAACCAGGAGGTAGCAACTCTTAGGTGGTATGGCTGAAGTCTTATGGCTGATGCCTCTAAGAGCTGAGAATCACTGCAGTCAAATGACTTGAGAAATTCTAAATTCATTGATTTTGCTGGGAAAATTTTTGTAAAAACACACACTGTCTCTCAATGATAAAATCTCAAAACATCCATACTGTATGGATGCTCTATGACTGAATGCCAGTTCACCTTATAACAAACTGCACTCTGCACACATAGAGATTAGCATATGCAAAAAGGATGGGGGGGTGGTGGGGAAAAAACTTAGAAAAGTGTATCTTAGAAGTTACTTATGTTTAATGCTTAAAAAGTCTGAATGCACAAACAATAAACTACCATTATAGAAGTACTGGTGGTCAATACAATGCATTAGAACTATGTACAATGACACAGTTTAGTATCAAAATTTTTCTTTGCTGTAGAACATTACGAAACTGTTAATGACATCAAACACTAAACACTTAAGACACCATTTTTTGCTATCACATTTGGAACTTCAATGAACAGTCCATTTTAAGTTGCAGCATCAATCCATTTCTAGTATGAAATTAAGTAATTTTCTACTTATACAATAAGATTTATCTACATGGGTCTTTTGATTTTGATCCATAGCAGCAAAGGCACTGTACATCAGCAGATCCACAGACTTAAAGATTTTTTTTAAAGCATTCAAAAAAAAAGTCACAGATCATAGTTTAACAGCGACAACAAGAACATAAAAAGATAACACAATGTCTCTGGCACAATGGCTCAGCCTGCATCCATTTTGGAGACATCCAATCAAGACTTGGATTGAATTGGTGACAAACAAAGCAAGTCCTATCCCAAGTGAGAATCCATTCCTTTTTTGTACTTCAGAATGAGTGCTCTTGTAAATCCTACCTCAGAGGTCCTTGCTTTTGTAGTTTGTATATTGGTAGGAATCCATCCTTATTTCAGTGCAGTTTCCAATGAATATATCAAATATTTTTCGTAATCTCTTGTAATTGAAAAACTGCCTAAAGACATGTATCTCCCATTTCAAAGAAACGTGGCAAAAATGTCCAGAAGCAATAAAGGTGATTCTTTGAGGCAACTTATGGTACTTCTCTCTACAATATAACAGAGAGAGGTGCTATATTTAAAAAAAAAAAAAATTACATTGACACTAAAACGCTTTATGTTCATCAATAGAAAAGCACTGAGAACAAATCTGTTCACAAGATGCTATATTGACATTGGAAATATATAAATTGGCACATTCTCATAAAAGGTATTTAATTTAGATGTGAACTGAACTTGCCATTCATTACAGGCATGTAAATCATTGGCTACAGGTTGCAATTTCCTAAATTTCCAAGCCTGTCTAAAATAGTTAAACTGCAGCATCTCCCCACCAAGTAATTATACTGTAATAATACTTTGAGGCCTCATGCAAGAATAGGACTAAAAAATCCCCATTTTTTAAAATTAGAATCTATGAGTCCATTCAGTGTAGCTTTTACTATCTCCACAACATCCTTCTCCCCAATTCCTTTCATCCACCAGCAAAACCAAAAAATATACAACGCACCTTTCAAACCAAAGTCGGGCCAGACAGCTTTATTTAGTCAGTTCATTGTTAGAAAGCCTTCTTTAAACAAAATAAATACATTACAACTATAATACATAATTAGTCAAGTTCACTGTTAAGTATTCCATTTTCTTCCAAGTAGATATCTGATGATTTGGTATCACAAGTTCTTAATCAGCATTCACAATTCAATAGTAAGTTAAAAGGGGAAAAATAAATTTCACAACTGTGATAAGCATTTAAGTTCTCAGTTTGGGAAAGAAAAAAAAAAGGAATACATAGCAAAGTGCTACAAGAAGGACTCCTGTCTGCATTCAGATTTGTCTCTAATAAATAACTTCATAGACTGTAGCCTTCTTGTCCCCAGAGCCAGTGACAATGTATTTGTCATCCACAGAGATATCACAGCTAAGCACAGATGAGGATTCTTTGGACTACAAGAAAAAAAAAAGAAATATAAATGAATTCTTTTCAATCCATTTCAATCCATAAAAGGACTCGAAGATTAATTAGAAGAGTTTACAGAGAGGGAATGCAAGGGAAAATTCATTTAAATATCACCACTGTAGATTCAAAGCAAAAGTAAAAGGATGGCAGCTTTTGTTACAAGACTGTTTCTCCAAATTTGTCTCACCTAAAGCTCTATGACAACAAAAAAGGGCAGCAGAAAGGGAAGTGAATGTTTTATTTAATGCTATAGAACTAGAGATAACCTATCAATCAAACAAAAAACAAGCAGTCCCTTCTATACACTTTACAAGCAATGAATATTTATTAAAATTTTATAAGTTAGTCTTTGCATAAAAGTTAATCAAAAGCCATCTTCCTCCTCCTCCTCTTTTTTGTTTTAAACCAGAAATCCTTATGGAGAAGCACTACAAAGCCCTACCTACCCATAGGCATGAAACAAAGATTCCACAGAAATAACTACATCTCCTATCAGTATTTCTCCAACACAAAAGACAAAACCCTTGCACAAAGGAATTTACATTACCAGGGAGGATGCAAATATGAAAAGATACTACGGTGGAATAGCATGAGCAACAGCATACAGCAGGTGAATGGAAGACAGGTTACAGTAGCTTTGTCTCCCCCAGCTTTTCTATCAACATGGAGATGGATCATTCCTGAGATGATGCATATGTATGCATGCTGTCACATTTTACTTGCAGTTTTAGTGCATGTTTTCTCTGTATAACATATGCCCACATTTTCTTTTCTGCCCTTCACTGCAAGGGCTAAATACTTCCCAGTCATGCTCAGTTCCCGCAAAGAAACCTCTAGTGCACTGCACACCAGCTTCTTTCTCTACGACTCATTAAGAGGGCTGCATTGGGGAATTACATATTTTTAAGGAAGATGTTTTTGGAAGGATTATTTGGGCGTTCTGTGGGAGGTTGTTCCAGAATACTCTCCACTAAGAAAGCTCAGACTTCAGATTTCTTGCACCAAGGCAAACTGCACTGTCCCAAAAGGCAGAGACATTACAGTTATCAGTATAGTGGAGATCTGACCTTTTAACCAGCGATATCAGGATTAACACAGTTCAAAAAATTCCCAGCATAGAGGTATCTGTAGGATGAAGAAGAGAGGGATATCCCCAAAATCCCACTCTTCTTTAATGGCACTGAAGTTCTAATAAAAGTGGGCATAGAGGGATTAAAGATTAGAGAAAGGTTACAACTTCCAGTTACATTTGATAGGACTCCTCTATAAGGATCAAGTCTTTAGCTCAAGAGTCCACCTGTTTAATCTACTGACTTTTCAGTGTTAATACAAGGTATGATATCTTAATGTTATTTATCCACATATTTCAAAAACATACAAGCTGTGAGAAAGCACTCATTAGCCTTAATTTGTCTCCTCCATGAAAAATACACGTGTTGAATGCCTTTCATCATTTTAGCTACATTTTGGACCTTCAGTGAATGCTAAGCTAATCATGTGACTTGGATGCTGTATTACAGCAATACATACAAGAAGGTGAGAAAGATATAGGCTCAGAAAGAAGGGTATTAAAAACAATTTCAGAGTAAAGGGTTACTTTATGGTAAGAGCTAAATTACTAAAATGCTAATAAGGACAAAAGTGTATGCCTCTCTAATTACAGACAAAGTCTTAAAGGAACATAATAATTATCCAAGAATTTCCATTTAAGAACTCCTTAAGCGAATGGCAGACCCTGAGAAGTGTAGCTCTAGTGCACTGTAATGTGGAAAATAGCTTTTAGGAGATTATTACCTGGAATATACTGGCTCCATAAGGTGTTCTCCAGGCATTAAGAAGATTATCTTTTCCAGTGCTTACAAACCATTTGCCTGCAATAAATTGTTTAAATGTTATAGTTGTGCTTTGTTTTCAAAGAATGCACCCCAAGAAAAAGATTAGTCATAAAAACAATTCAACCACACATTAATGAAAAACATATCCAAAAAACAGTCACATCTTCATCTGGTTACGCTAAGATGTTCAATCACAACATAAGTAGTTTGTACTAAAAAGCAGTCATGTTTTTTTTTTTTGATACTTAAACTTAACATCTAGTTTTTAAACGTCCCTGTTTTTATTTAAAGGTGATATTGAATAAATTTCTCAGGAGAAAAAATACTGGCAAAGAAAGCTTTGCTTACCACAGTGAGCAAATTTGAGTGACAACACACAGCTCTCATGAAGATGCAGCTGATACTTGTCCGGTTTAGTAACATGCAGCACCTCAACGTTACTGTTCTCCATTCCTACTGCCAACCATTCACCAGTTGGACAATAGCCCAATGAGAAGATCTGGAATTAACACAGCACATGCTTCAATCAGTAAGGAATGAGCTTGAGATATTCAAACCCGACTCCTGCTACACTGTTAACACTATGCAAAAAACACATTTTCATCTGCTACACAGTTTTAAAAACATGCTAATCCAATTATTATAGTAATCAAGATAAATTAGTTCATGTAAACAAAGTTCAATTAAAACTGTAATAGCAAAGCAAAAGTTAATGTCCTAGCTTATCTGACAGCATTTCAAAATATTTTTGAACGAGGATCTACAGAAACGGTAACAGATTATGCACAGGAACACTTTAATCTGGCAATTCTTTTACAAAAACAATTCTCCACTGCTCTCATGGGAGAAGCACTAATCTGTCAAATAGAGTCATAATCCAGAAAGGTGTTTAACTGCCATATTAAAAAAAGAAGTGTGTGAGACTAAGTGAAAAATTATTTTGGAGTTCTCTTTGAGTCTGCTTTTTTAAAAAAGTGTGTTTTAGAAAACTACAACAGATTTTTCTTAACATGCCAAAGCTTCTGAGATTGAACCTGTGATGTAAAGTCATGTTGTTGTAGCTGTCTCCCTTCTCTGAGGTCCCAGGATCTGACTGTATTGTCCAAGCCTCCCGTCCATAGTTTGGTGCCATCATTAGAAATGTCAATACAGCTGGCTCCATCTGTGTGGCCCTGAAATTGCCTGAAAATACCAAAAGAAGATACATTCTCACATTGGAAACAGTCAGTTCTGAGCATGTACTCAGAATACCTCGTTTTTGTTTCAGCCTTGTACACACATCCATTAAAGACAACTGTAACATAGATTCTAAGAGCAATTTCAGATTAAATTCCTGAGACAACCATGTGAATTTTGTGATGAATTTATGAAGCAATCAGGCCAGACAGCTGAGCACTAATTTGATTTTGAGAAGCACACATTAAGAGTCAGATATCCTGGGGATCTTTGCTGCTGACTGTGTGATATTCACCATTTGACAGGAAATACCACATTCCCCATGAAGGAATGCAGCACAATAGTAAAAATTCACTTGTTTTAAGATGGCAAGGTTTAAAACAGAGAAGTCTAAATGGGAGGAGCATCAGCTGGTAAAAGCCCACCTCTACACGTAATACTGAAATACTATATTACACAGCGCAGTAGTGTATACAGAAGCTCTGTACTACTGGCTCCTAGCTATCTGTATATTGGTGTAGAGCAGCAACTCATATTCCCAAGATGTTGAAGTGTGCAATGCAGTGATCTACACACGTTTACCCAAGACATACTTGCTAGAGCACTGATTAAAGAGAATGGTGTGTGAGCACAGTGTACTGCATGAAAACAAAGGAACCCATCTGTTCAAAGAACCCCCAGCAATGTCAACACCAGCTGATCTTAGGCAATTATAGTTCTGGGGCTGCTCAATGGGCCTGGAATTATGAAACTCTCAAAACCTATAAACAATCACATACAATCTTATCGAGATATTACCATGGTTATTGCCTAGTGATGAAATACTGAAAGTAGTTCAGTTGACACCATTAAGACAAGCGCATATTTAAGTAGAAGAGCATGTAATGCTATGTCTAATTAATTCTTCACAACCTGATGATCCAGTTCTGTCGACCTACCTTACTAAAGTCTGGTTATGCAGATCCCACACTGCAATGTTCCCATCACTACAGCAAGAGAAGCAGACCTTGGAATCAGGGCTGATAGCTAGGGCATAGCAAGCTGGAGCAGAAGATGTCAGCTCTGCCTTAATCCGTGGAGTTGGAGCTGCCAGGTCCCAAATGGATAACGTGCTGGCTTCCCCACCAACAATCAGGGTGCGGCCATCTGGGAGCAATCTGCAGGAACGGATGTAGTTATCTCTGTTCTGCGGAGACAGAAGTCATCAAGAGATTACTCATGAGGAAAGGAAAACAGCATTAACAAGAGAGCAGAAATCCATAAAAGTATTGTATTCTCTCCTGGTTTTAATGAGCCATTTGTACTTATGACAATGATAAAGTGTATCAATGCCAGAAAATTACATGCAAAGGCCTGAACCCAACCCCAAATAATTCAAGATAGCTGCATTCAACAGCTTGTGTAGAAAGTTACGTTTTCATACTCTGTTTATTTCAGCACATTAACCTCCCGGCATAGGGGAGTACCAAATTCCCTGCACACCTCACCCTCTGTTGCAATGAGACTTGCTGCCACCATCTAGGAGATGTCAGAGAAAAATATTTGGGCAATTTTCTTCATTTGTGTAGCAATTTATGTAGCAAAATTCATTATATGTCTACACATGCTGCACAATTCTCATTTAACAGCCTCTGTAACAAGAAGCAACATCTTACCAAGAACTGGTAAATGAAACAAAAAAAAGCTGCTAACAATGGTTCATCTTGTTAGCACAAATAATTTGCAAACACTCAGGGATATTTTTAATTGCCACATTAAGACAGGGCAATGCATTTACACATACAAAGATACAAAATATGTGACACAAGCTTCAAATATTCTCTGAGAATGCAGCTGCAAGACAGCAATTTTTAGCACGATAGGATATCAAGCTTTAAGATTGCCAACAAATGTCAAAGTTTATAAACAATATCTACTGTGCTGTCTTTGATCTTTCCCCCTACCAACACAATCTACAGTCTTAGGATATTAAGGATGTTTTGATTCATGGGGAGGGCACAAGTACTACAAGGAATGTAGTTCAAACTCAGTCCTAGAAGAAACAACAAAATTACAAATGGAAGATCAAGCTTTGATATCAATGACAGCACTCAGATAGCCACTACTTTTTGTACCTTAACAGTACAATTTCAATCTTAACACAACCTGCTACCTTCTTCCGCTGTCATATGTAGCTGTTCACTTACCAGGCAGTCCAGTTGAGAGACAGGGCTCTTGTTGCCAGGGTGGCTGATATCCCAGACTTTGACACACCCCTTCCCACCTGTGTACACGTGTCTTGTGGGGTTGCTGATGGTAACTGCACACACGACTTCCCCATGGTTCAGTGTGTTGATCTGACGGGCATGGCGAGGGATCCCTGGACCAATGAGGGCATCGGGAGGGAAAGGTACAGGCTGCATCTGACCATCTGCACTTACATGAAATGAATATGCTCTAAAGAAAAAAAAAAGGTGAGAGGGGAAGGACAGTGATTTAAGCTGTTCTTCAAGCCTCTTTCAGAAGAGAGAACAAGATGCGTGTGTGGTACATGTGCATACACATCAACAGCCTATCATTTTCCATTGTGGGGATTCAGACTGTATGCCTACCTCCTTTTGCAATTTTTACACTAATTTGAAGAACAAAATTACTTAGATACCTAAAGTATGGATCTTGGAGCATACACTTGGGTACTTTTCCTTCTGATGCGGCAAGTCAAGGACCATCTACCAAACAAATGAGCTTTTACAACTCGCGCAGCTATGATTTCTGGCATGAGCGAGGATACATGATACTATTCTTAAATTCCAGTGCATGGAGAGAACACCACATACAGAGAAGGGAAGAAAGATCAGATTAGGGCCCCCCGGGAAGACAGAAATAGTAAGCTGGCTGTTGCAGAACATTAGGGGGTGCCGAGTGCCTGGGGACATTTGGTTGTTCCCTTATTGACTCTAACGTGTGAACTTCAGGGAGCATGCAGGAGCCAGAGTGCTGCCAAGCTGCCCTGAATGGTACCAAGGGTCCCACATGGCTCAAGGGAAATTGTAAGGGTGCACCGAAACCACTGCCATCATACGACAGACTAGCAAAAACACAGTGGTTTTTTTTTTTTTTAAACTGACACAACAACCACAAACCCCAATTTCTCTTGCCAGAATCAGGACTCTCACTGAGAAAGAATGTGTTGTGTGACTGCCAGTTATGCCACCTGTGAATGACCTGTGAATGACCTATCAACAGCTTCATCTCAAAATATTTTCTGAGGAGAGCACTTAGGTTGTGAAGTTGTGATGTGTCAGGAAGCATCTAAGAACAAGATGTCTATTACAGAGCACAAACTTTATAAGAGGGTTCACCTACACATACAAACATGCACTTAATGGAAGGCTTTAATTTCCTTAGGCCTAAAAAAACCCACAGCAGTACTAATGAAAAATCCATTGTCACAATGGCAAGGATGAGAATAGCTCACAAAAATACCATTTTATCAGAATGCTTAGAAATGTTTCCTTAATTGTTGCTTGAAAGTCACTGAAGTCTGCCTTCTTCAGAATTCAACCATTTCATTTGTTATTTAAGATTCACACTGCATTAATATTAGAACAATAATTTTCAGCAGAATACAACTGCATTTTCACCTTTCTGCCCTATTCCCAGAGCTTTTCACTCTCTCCTAATCCTGCCCTTTGTTTCTTGTTCTGGCAGGTCTGAGTGACAGATCGTATCATCATTCTCCATTTTTTGACATTAAACACATTCAGGAAAGGGTAGGACAGATTTCTGTGGTTGTTAGAAGAAGCAAACTGTCTATATTGAGTGGAATTTTGAGTTCAATTATCACTACAGAAATCTGAAAGATCATCATCTCCTTAATTCCTTTTCCTGCAGTAAAGGTACTAAAAAAAGAAGCAGATGGTGATCTGAAATCTGTAACAAGACAAGTGTAACTTTTTTATCATCCTTTCTAATTTCTGTATAAAGTTTCAGTCACTCTGCAGAGTCATGCTGAGCACTTAATATATGATGTTTTCATTAGGCACAGGGATTTTTACCATGCTCGTAAAGTACATAGGGAACATATTTGAACAATTAGAAAAATAAAGCTTAGTTCTAGTGATCTGTGACTACATTATTCTCACCCTATTCATCATTCCATACCAGCATCTGTGATTAAACTGTTGCTTCTACATGTTGCTTGTTTGAAGTATTCTAAATATCTTACAAATATCTGACACTATAAACACCTGATGAACATTTTTTTCCTTCTTTTTGTATTAGCTACCTCTTCTATTTATGTATTGTACTATCCTCAACTTTCTGATGCATCTCAAAACTAGAGAATTATTAGTCAGCTAGATCCCTGATGCGCCACACACTGCTCATTCCATTTCAGCAAACACTCAGTGTGGAGAATTTACACAACTTTTGCTTTAAGGGAAAAGGAAGAGTAAATGAGAGAAAAACAATCCCGAACAATAGCTGTGAAAAATACTGCACGTAAGATGAAGAAAATCAATGTGATCATGATAAAATGACCATAGATTTCAAAGGTGTCAATCTCTACAGTTGACAAACATTTAGCTGCAACTGTCCTTTAAAACAGTCATCAATATGCCAATGCAGTTCAGAAGCCTTTGAGATGCAACAGATCTTTGACTGGTTTGGTTTCAATTTGCATCACATCATTTTTTTCCCCCCCCTCTCCAACTCAAGGAGGACACGAGTAGGGTAGTCTCCACATCTGTAGAATTTTCCTTTCTAAGGTCACAATGAGCAAAGCCTGGCAGAGTAGGTCACCTTTTCTGGGCCACTAGATCTACCAAGGATGAGCTTGAACATTAAGAATATTTGAACATTATGTCAGGAAATTTCTGTGTACCCATTGCATGTGTAGGATGAAGATCTCTGCCCTGCAGAATTTTTAATCCAAACACCTGATCCTAGAAACTACTGTGCACCAAGTTCCAAAATCATTTTATGCAGCCATATGCTAGGGCAGAGTAACTAGCAGAAGAGCAAACTGAGGTGATAACCAATGTGTGAAGTCTGAAAGAGTAGGATGCAGGTTACACATTCATGTAAGAAAACTTATAGGAACTAGCATTGATCACTTTTCCCATTATATGTTATTAATCTTGTGCGTCTGCAAGCACACAGGCAGGCAAGTGTATGCATTTATTCACATGCATGCAGGTGTGTGAATATTCCCCTCACCCCCTTCCTCCACAAACACATTCATACATAAGACAGAGAGAGAATGAATGGCACAAACTACATCCGCTGCCTTTCAACCCCTCCAATATTAGCTGGTCACAGTTTCTTGTAAGTGTCACACACCTCAACTGGACTGCCTGGTAAGTGAACTTGAGGACCCTTACATAAAATCTGGATCAATATGGTTTGCATCACTGGTTTTTTTTTTGTTTTTGCCCTCTCTAACTCCAGAGGGATGCAAGTAGAGAGTTCTTCATATCTGTGTAATTCTTTTTCCTAGGCTCACAACAAGTGAAGTCTGGTAGAGTAGGTCACCTTTTACAGTCAGTTCCATCAAGGATGAATTTGAACATTATGATATCATAATTCTTTCCAGTATTTTCAATCAAACAAAACATTTCAGTGTTCCTTTCTCTGCACATTGCTGTTTATAGTAGCTGATAAGTTTGCAAGTGATTGCAAGGCTTTTGTGAACAAATAAATTATTTCTTAACCTGAGAGGCAGAGTATGGCAGAGATGGAAAGTCAAGATCACATTCCATTTTGCATTTCTATATTAAACCAACCAGTCAGATTCAGCATGCAACACCTGGAAGTTCAGCTTCCTTCTCCATTTATCATCATCTCTTCTTATTCTATACCACCCAGTACTTGTCGGCTGCAATTAGCCTTTAAAACAAATTTACAAATATAATTTTAAGATTGAACAGTGTTTTTTCTTCCCTTGCTAAATGGCTATATTTATTCTTACAATAATTTTCAGTAGCTAAAGGGAATTCCAACTGGCAAGGGAATACAACTTAAATAGATGATTAACTTTTAAAGTTGACTGTTTGATACTCACGGTTTTCCTCCTGGGATGCCTGTGAGATTGGGAGGGATGCCTGGGACTCGCATGTGATGATGGGGATCAAAACCAACCTGTAGTTTTCCCCAAGCAAAACAAAAAGGTGTATTAAAGATGGAGTTATGCAAAAGAAGACAGTTTAGTCCATATCTTCCATAGCATACTCCCCAAATTACAAACAGATTGAACCAGATTTAACCCCACAGGTCATACATTTAACATAAACTGCTCTCATTCTCAAACACAGTAGCGGCAAACGCTTACCACTGGAGATCTCCCATAAGCTGCGGCTGCTGCTGCTGGCGCTGCTGCACCTCTTTTTGGGGGTAGGCAGCTCCTGGGCTGGTCAGCTCACCGTTCATACTGGCATGTGGCACAATCCCAAACGGAGTAGGGTAAGGACATGGCACTGCCATAGGCGTCCTTAAACCTGAAGCTATAGAGGGCAAAGAAGAGAGCCAGCCCAACATAGACAGATCAAATATAAATTTGGCAAGCAGTAAAAAAGATATGCTGCATTGAAATGCTGTGTTAAAATGCTGAAGAACCAGCTCAGCATTGGGTTTAAGCAGCTGTGATATACAGCTTTGTCACTGTAGATTTAAAGGGAAACTGCTTAGGGATGAATGGTTATAGTTTCATATAGTTTTGAATATACTGATACAAACCTAGTGGGTCAACACCGGGGGGCTTGCCAGGCACAGGCCTTAATCCGGGAGTGGAATTGCTGCCTGGAGTTGGAGCGTCAGTCCGTGGAGTTGGGGTATTTGATTTAGATACAGGTGTGGTAGATTTCTCATTCTAATAATCAAAAAAGATAATGAAAGATAGTTGATCAGTTATTTCACTTTCTGGCTTCTTAACCTGTGGCTAGAAAGAGAGCAGATGTCAACTGGAGTGTGGTATGATTAGTGAAACCTGGGTTTTGGTTTGAATAGTCATTGGCAATGAAGAGAAGCATGCAGAGACACTTAAAAGGATGGAATGGCTTTGGGAATTAACTATAGCCTTCACAGCTTTCCTCATTTGAGTCAACAGTATGATTCAGAATAAGGTCAATGACTGAAAATCATTACCATCTGACAATCATATTGGCAGCATATGCAAAATCTGTTGGTGGTCTCAGTCTGCTCATAGTGGACCTGTTCACATTATGAGTTTCTGTGAGTTTCTCATCCACCACTGCCTGGTGGATGAGAAAAGCAAAGAAAATCCACAACCAACCAAGAACTCATCCCCAAATGTGGTCTGATAACATAGGATGGAGACAGTGATGGGTATAAAGTCAGGAACTGCACAGTGCCACTCTTGTGAGGAACTTGTTCATCTGACAAACAGCTGACTCCTGGGTCTGAACCTGTCATTCTATCACCTTTCCTGAGCACTACCATCACTTTAGGGTTTTATTTTTTTATTTTATTTTTTTTAAATAATCATGTACCTTGACCTGCAAAGAACTATGAGAGGAGTTACAGTGCAGCTCAAAAATGTGATTAACTACAGCCACAAACAGGAAAGGCAAGAACACCCCCAACTTGCAGGCAGCTCTTTTTTGCATTGTGATTTGTGATGCGAGTCAAGGAAGGCTCTTGTAAATGACAGATTACTTTTTAGATGGAAAATAAAAATTATTGTTGTTGTATATGGCCTAGTAATTCAAACAAAGCTAACAAGCAAATCACATCCAAGAAGGGAACTGAATTTGCTATAAACCACAGCAGAAGAAAACAGCTCAAGGAACCCTTGTGTACTCTTATTTATTCTCAGAATGACAGTTTTTCATATGGGAGAGGAGAAAAACATCTCTCAGCACAGAACATTCACCATCTATCCACACCAGCAGTTAAAATAACCTCTTCCCATCCCAAAAAAGGTTGTGGACTTTCTCCTTAGTATTTCATTAAATTCCCTGAAAACAGAAATTAAAGGAATTTTATACTGATTTTTCATAGCGTTTTACTGATAGCTTTAGAAATCCAAATTGTGTCCAGATACAAATCTGGTTAACATGTGTTTCATTATCTTATCACAGGTCAGGAACATTCAGAAGCACTTACAAGGCTAAGTTCTTTGGATTTGGAGGAAGGAGTACTGCTGGAGGATGCAATAGATGCAGGACTAATTGGTGCATCTTTCTTCAGCAGTCGAGTCTTGTCCAAGCCATTCTCCCGTGGAGAGTGTGCTGGGCTCCCTCGGGGAGAGGAAGGATCCTAAACATCAACATGGGTTAGTATAAAAACAACACAAAAATCCAAAACAAACAAACTCACTCATAGTAGCCACTAATGCTTGTCTTTAGCAAGTCACACTTCGGAGTGAAGATCTGCCCTAAAAGGTGGCATGTTCCTTCAATCTTTAAGTGATTTAGCTGATAAAATTGTAAAATCAAGATGGATAATCCAAGAAAACTATTTTTACAGAAGTTCTTAACATTTAATGTCATTAACCATGAAAAAATAATGTTATAAACCTTCGGATATTGAAATAGGCTAGTAATTCTCATTTTTCAGGTGGCAAACTGAGGCACTTGGCTGTCCTGACTAAGTTTGCAAAAGAAGTCAAGACCAGAGTGAAAGAAAACACAGATACCACTACAAGCAGCATCTTATTTGTTGTGCTGGGCTGGCTTCAAATATCTCAAAGTAGACTTCTGGTTTGTGCAAGGAACAAAAGCTCCTTTGTAGAAAAAAGTGTTACAGATCTGATTTGCTTTCTACAGAAAGATGACCTGACTGGATTCCCTCAGGAATTTCAAGCTCCTTTGTGAAGGCAAAGACTGCAGTCTTATTCATATATCTAATATGCATGGAAACCACTGAAGACCTGCCCCCCCCTTGCTATTATAAGGTACCAAAAATAGCATTGTGTGTACCTCATTGGAAACATCAACTACCAAGTTGTCATCACTCTTTTCACCATCACTGTCCTGCAATGACAAATCACAATGTGTAAAAAATATATAACACATTATATAATATATGAAGTCACTGAAGTACAAAGAAAAATCTGATGAAATACAAAGCTGCTCACAAGCTATGTAATATAGCCTTTACTTTTACCTAGCTTTATATGGTAATAAAATTCTAATATTTAGGTCTCCTATAGTGCTTCTTCTCAATAGGTATCAAAGCTGTAGCATTCTTCCCAGTTTTCACATAAGCAAATGAAGACAGAAGATGAAAATACTTGTCCAAAGTTGCACAGCACTGAGAAGCAGCACCATGCCACACTCCAGAGCTACTGAGTTCCAGCCAAAGGCTCCATCCTCTTGTCACCTGCCTTCAGGTGTTCTGTATTTATATGGTCAAAAATACTATAAATCCCAAGCACCTCAGCCTTCCACCCAGCATAATGATAAATGCAGACAGCAAGTACCTGTTAAAATTTGAACTGCAAATTTAAAATTAGGTATGCAGTAGAAAATTGGTAAAGCTATGGAGGACACAAGTTCAGCGATGCCAAATGTAAATGCTTTACTCACATAACGAGCTGCTATTTCCTTCTCTTCTGTTTTCTGCTTTTTACTGTCTGAAGAGTAATCTGTTGAGTTTCTGTGCTTTTCTGCTGTTCTGAAACTGGCTGATGGAGATACAGAAGAGCTCTGCAGTTAGAAGAGGGAGAGACCGAGACAGAAAGAAACATCATCGGATGCTCATTCAAAATAGTGGTTCATTTGTCACTATCCCTTAATACAATTTAACCTTTGAAGTTGTTCTGATGGACAGCGCTTTGGGTTTTAATTAGTGAAAGCTACCCAGCAAATTTTTTTACATTGAGAGCGTACAATGCGTTGCAAGAGGCACAGATAAAGGAGATCAATTAACGGTTCATTGAATAGTTGATAACTGCAGTGTTAATAGGATGAATGTAGAGCTACCTTGGACCATTTTATGAATACTGTATGTTGGCCTGGCTTTGGCTTGTTTACTTGATAAATATTCAGGGTTAATTCAATACTAATCTCCAGGGGCAGGGGGAAGGAAATCAAGGAGAACAACAAAGATGATTCAAGGCAAGTCATGCTCCAGCAAACATTTGAGAGAAGATTTCTGGCAAGGAGAGAAGCAAGGTCCAATAACAGTCTTGCAACAGGAGAAAGCAGTGGAGGCAAACACCTAACTCATTTTAATCTGAAACCTTATACAATTACAGGCTGTCAGGTCCCTGCAGTAGGCAGGAACACAGCAGCTCCAGCAGTCTCTCCCTGTTCTGCAGCCCTACCTGAGTAATGGTTATTACAGAGCACACTGAAGAGACAGGTGAGAAAGGAAGATAATTTGTACTTTGCGCATTGTCCTCCTACAATTCTACTCTACTACTTTAAACAAGAAAGGCAACATTTATCAACTCCTACCCTATTTCCAGAGCTTGGTTGAGTCTGTATCTTGATATACAAACAAGGAAGAAATGAAAGATCCCAAGTTTCCTCTAGGATTGATTCTACCAGCAGCATCAGGTTTGGCCCTAATTCAAAGAAGCATTTAAACACACACTAAACTTTATCTCATGCTGAAGTCAATGGTTAAACATACAGAAATAAGGATGTGTTCAGGCATTTTGCAGAATTAGACCTGACAGAAATGAAGATGAAAGTAATTCTCAATTGAAACCCTGCTGTTTCCCCTCTCTCTATCCTCCTTACATAAGGGGGTAAAAAAAGAAAAAAAAAAGTAATGAAATAAGTCCTTACTGCTGGATTTCAGTCCTTTCTCCTCATCCAGAAACACTGATTCTGGGGTTCTTTTCCATGCATGTGGCCAGCTATTGTTTTGCATAAAACTGTACAATACTCCACACTAATTTTTTTTTTGTTTAAGTGTACACCTAAGCTTATTTTACAGCTACTACCAGGAATGCAAAACAAGAAATTAATATTTAAATTATGCAACTTCTGCTCCATCACTCTTGCTGAATTACTTCTTTTCCTTGACCTATTACACCACAAACTTCTGGTAAGGATCAAAAACACTTGCTCCAGTCACACGAGAGAAAATTTTCTCCACGTTGTGGAGCACCAAGGTCCTGGTCTCCACGTCACTTCTCTAAAATTTCCAACTGTTGTTAACAGCAGTTCAGATTAACGAGTGGTGGATTTCACAGAAATTTTCTATTTTTGACTGTCAATCATTAACAGTGCTGAAGGGAAATGGAAATTTTAAAACAAAGCTAGTGCTGAATGCAGCCTGTGTCTTTCCAGTTTCCCTCCATCCTTCTCTCCTCCGACATTATAAAATAGTAGACGAGGATTTCCTATCCTGCACAAATACATCTTAAAATGTGCTCACCGATTTAGATTTAAAGCAGGCCATTATAATCAAATTTTATGCTGTAAAAAAAAAAAAATTAAAAGTGCTATTGTTTGCTCTGAATAGACAACACATGTTAAGGCATTTAGAGACAGTGGTGACAGTAGGCTCAGAAGCCCTTAAAATAAGGACCAAGTAAAAATGCAACATTAAACGAACTGATGGCTTGAGAAATGTATTTGTTTACTGCAAGAATATAGCATAGTCTTTTGCAAGAGATTTTAACAGTATACTATTACATTTATATTCATTTACAATTTGGGAGGCAGTAGCTTGTAATGTGAATTCAATTCATTATTTCTCAACTTCGCCATACAGAAAGCAATTTGCCTTAAAACAAAGAAAAATAATCATCAGTAAACTACAAATTAGAGTGGTGTCTAAAGAATTAAACTACTGCACTTATTTATTTTCATAAATTTGAAACCATATAGTTTCATTTTTCACAATCCAGTTAGCTATGTGCTATAGATACCACTTTAATCTTTGATTTCACTGGTTAATAAAGTAATAAATTAAAGCTCCCTACTAGAATGATAAAGTAGTCAATTATCACTAGCACATAAAGGATGAGCACCACATTGGGCACTGGGGCAATGTGTACTGCTTAATAGTTTTATTGTTTCAAAGACTGATCAGACTTGGTATCAACATGAAAAAAATCTTGCTATGGTATCTCACCTACATCAGAAGAAAAATGCAGACAACTAGCCTATTGACTGGGGAAAAGGTGGGGAAAGGGATCAAATTAGTGGAGTGGGGAAAGCAGGCAGAATTTCATTTCCCCAACTGTAATTTGGCTAGTGTACTAGGACTAATATTATTTTGCCTAAAGTGTCAATTACTACAGGACAAATTAAGCATTCTCACTTTAACTATTTTCTCCCTTTTCTTGTATGGGAGCCACAGTTACCCAGTGACACTCCTGCAATAGTGGCTTTTTTTCTGTCCAATACGTAATGCATCTGCCATATAAAAATCTCTGACTTCATGGGATCTCTGGGACTGGTGCTGACAGATTTAAAATTATCTCTTATACTAAGTAACAATGATATGTCATGTACTGCTCAGCCAAAAAGCTATGGTCTAGATCTTCTAATGTACCTAACACCTACTGATTTCAGTGTGCAAGGGGCATTATTATTCGCTCCAAGTTCCTACTATGGTTTACAATAGCAGTTCAGCCTGTAAGCAACTGTAAGGATATATTTTCAAGTGAGAAATACCCGGACACATCATCATCTCCATGGTTTCCACTGATATCAGATTCCTACATATAATCCTATACCCACACAAATCTCTCCTTGAGTGTGTAAGTCTACATATTCCAAGAGAGATCCTTATGTTCCCAGACTTCATACAAAAACCTTCATCAAAGCACAGTGTAGTGAGCACACCTGCGGGAGACCTGGCGAGGAGTCAGTGGCTGGCAGAGTACGTGGTAGCAGCCCCGGAGTGTGCTCTCTACGCGCTGACCGACTTCCCGTCAGGGCCAGGCATGCATGTTCTGTTCTGTCAGCAATGTCTAGCTGCTTCCCGGACAGTAGCTACTCCAGGTTAGCACAGCTGAGATAAGGAAATAGCTCTAGTAGATGTAAGGGGCCCTTAGGATACAACAAGTGGAGTCCTGCCTGGGCATCTGACCCGGGTGTCCAGCAGCCTCCCATCCGCGGCCCCTCCGCGTGGTTCCCGGGGCTCCCCGCGCAGCTTGGAGTGCAAGTCCTTCATTAAATCTATCCTGTTTAACCCCTCATGAACCTTGAGTGTCTCTCTCCACCGGTATCCAAGCCTCTCTTGCCTGCCTTGTGGTCACACACAGCATTTATCTGTCAGACTTTGTTCTGTTCCTTGATTAAAACATCGGTGGTCTCCTAACAGCTGCCTTTAAGAAGCCAGAATAGGACAGCTACTTAGAGAAATTAAGTGATTCAGCGTTATGTCTTGGCAGGCTGTAACTTAATGGGCCAGAATCCTCATTTTAGTAACTATTAAAATTTACAGAGAAATAAAGTCTTCTCACACTGCTGTTTTCTTCAATAAAATGTTTTAATCTACTAGAGAGAGTAGCATTTTCCTACTAACGAACACCAATTTTGCTCACATATAATAATTAGATAAAACACAGGAAAAAAAATACTCTTTGGTGAAAGTGGGTTATATTCAGTTTGTGTTTTAGCAAAATATACCAGTTTTTCATTTTCTGCTTAGATAGAACATTTTTATTCATGTTAAATATACCACAAAATGCTGACAAAAACATATTCAACAGATACATTTATAGAAAGGCTGAGCATGTTGCCTTGTTCTTATAATTTGCTTAAGAAATGAAACAGTTCCTAGTGCTGGATCCATAGGATCTTTTACAGCAGACTGTAAAGCATGAAGCACGATGCTTCACTCTGTATTTTGTATAGTGTTGAGCACAGTGTTAAAAACAAACAAAAAAAACCCACAAACACACACACAACACAACACACACAGACCATTCAGACTTTCACAAAGCGGTGTGTTTTTCCTCCAACATTCATACAGTGCTGCTCTAGGTGGAATATTGGTGCCAGGCACACACAAATTAAATGATCATAAAGAAGACAATATAAACTTCTTATTAAGCCATAAAATTCTCACCAGTAGCAATGCAAACATCAGCATGCTGTCTACTCAGGATAATTAATGCTTCAAATTGCTTGAAAAATCCAGGAATCACTATCACCATTTTAACCTCAACTTCCACTGAAAGTTACTTGCATTTAAATAGATGACTCATGCTGCAACACAGCAGAAAAAAACAATATGGTCAGATCATGCAGTCTTCTGACCACTCTCAAACCCTGTAAGTCCTAACTCCCCATATGTTAGCTCCTGCAGATGAAGACCTGGCCTGAGTAGACTAAGTGATAATTAAATGACATCACTGTTAAAAGCAATGACTAAAGATGACAGGATGAAAAGCCCTGCCACATGATGAAGCTGGTAACTCTGTAAAGCATTCACAAATATGACCATTCGCTAGCGTAACTTTACAACTCTGTCACAATGATGTATTTGGAGTGTAATAATTAAAACAATAATTCCCAACAAAGTAGAGATTATGAGATAATTGACCATCCTGAAGTATTAAGCAACTGCAGTAAAAGCCAAGGATGCTCAATGCTAAGGTCAATTACGATATAATTATCTGAATGACATTACTGCTGTTATAAAGTCTGTTGAAAGTATAAAAGAAACTATAAAAATGGATACAATATGCATCACAGGGAAACAACCCGAGAGTAATGCTGCTTGGCTGACTGGT